CCGCCCCGCCGCCGCGGGAGCCGGCCAGCAAAGGGGGTCGCTTGGGCGGCTCCTAGAGCCGACTATGCACTCAGGTTGTGCAGTCCCCAGCCCTGGCGACCCCGCGGGGATGCGATTTGTAGTGGGTATTATTCTTAGGAGGAAGCCAGCGTCTTGTTCTGATATATTTTTGTATTCTTGCTAGTATTACTGTTTCCGAGGTTGTTATTGTTATTGTCATTATTTGCTTTGCCTTTCTGAGGAAACTGGGTCGGAGGCAGCGGATGGGCAGCCTGGCTGCAGACTGGACACTCCGGGCCGCTCCCAGCCTCTCGGGTCTCCAGCACCACCTGCGCCTCATTTCGTTCAGCCCACTGAGATGAGTTTGGGGAAAAAAAAGAATACCATTTTTATTAACTGTAATTGTTAAGTCAAAGAACTCTGGTGACATAGTGGCTTATAAATTGAGCTGCTAACCACAAGGTTAGCAGTTCATACCCACCAGCTGCTCCACGGAGAAAAATGAGCTGTTTACTACTGTTAAGAGTTACAGTCTCAGAAACCCAAAGGGGCAGGTCTAAGCTGTCCTCTAGGGTCGCTAGGAATGGAAATCGACTTGTTGGCAGTGAGTTTCTTGTTTGGTAATTGTTAAGTATTGTACAAATATAGAAAGCCAGGTTGAAAAATTTACAGCTTAATGGATTATTCTGAGGTATACACACTTATAACCACCACCCAAATTTAGTAAAGTGGTCTGGGGTTGCCATAAGTCAATCAACTAGAAGGAAAAAGATTTTTTGTTTGTTTTAGTGATCTGGTTTTAAACAGCAACAACTTCAATAGCAGGGAGAGCACTGCATGAGAAGAGACTTCCAAAAACTCATAATTGTGGCAGAAACTCAAAGCCTACCTGCTCAGAATCATGCCTTCTCCAAGAACAGATGTTGAAAATAGAAATATCCCCAGAGTTAACACACCCCTGTCCCCAGTCTGAGTGTATTTGTAAACTCATTTATTAAAAAGCTACATATGTAACTGTGTTGTGCGGTGCCATTGAGTTAATTCTGACCCATAGCAGCCCCATACACAACAGAAGAAAGCACTGCCCAGTCCTGGGCCATCCTCACCACGGTCCCTGTGCTTGGGCCCATTGTTGCAGCCACTGTGTCCATCCATCTCCTTGAGGACCTTCCTCTTTTGCCCCTGGCCCTCTACTTTACCCAGCACAATATCCTTCTCCAGGGACCAGTCTCTCCTGACATGTCCAGAGTCTGTAAGAAGAAGTCTCACCTGCCTTGCCTCTCAGGAGCTGTATTTGTTCCCAAACAGATCCGTTTGTCCTTTGAGCAGTCTATGGTCCCTTTCATACTCTTCCCCAGCACCGCAATTCAAATGCATTTAGTCTTCTTTGGTGTCTGATTTTCTTTTTTTTTTTTTAAACATTTTATTAGGGGCTCATACAACTGTTATCCCAATCCATACACACATCAATTGTGTAAAGCGTATTTGTACA